GCTCCCGCCTCAGGCTGGCTCCCTGGGACGGAGCCGGCTGCGGCTGGGGTCGGGCGGCTGGCCTGGGGAGCGCGGTTGCCGGACCTCACTCACTCACCATGCCCAGCTGCGACTGCAGAGGCGGCGGCGGCGGCCAGGCGGGAGCGCAGCGGCCGAAGCGAGCAAGCCGGGAGCCGCGGGCTCGCCGCCTGCACTGGTGCCGGAGCGTATGCGAGAGGAGCGAGGGAGACACACGCACTCACACTCCCGCACACACGGGAGCGCCGCGAGGGGAGGGGAGGGCAGCAGCTCACCGCCGCCCACGTTTACACGCTCCGGAGCCCGTGGGGGAGAGGGGGGTTCTTCTTTGCTTCAACCTCCTCGCGGCACTTGAAGCTCCGCGTCACCAAAGCCCAGGACACCCGTTAATCAACACGGCGAACCAGCCGGGCAAAGAGGGACTGGCAGCTTGGGAGGGAGTGTCCCCTCTGGAGCCGGCCCGCAGAGGACCAAACCTACCCTGCCTTTGCTCCGTCCTGCCCTGGAGGCGGGTCCTGGGCTGTGCGCTGCCAGAGCTGGAGTTGGGGTTTCCGCAAGCCTTTGCCTCTCCCTAGTGGCGACGCTCGCTGCGGAAAGAAGAGGTCAAACCCATTGCTACAGGTTCCTAAACTGAGACCAGGGGTCAAGTGGCTTATGCGAGGTTATTGGGCTACCAGTGAGCAGGGCCTACACTCCTTCCCCTTGAACACTGTGCTCCCGCCCTGCCTCCAGCATGCAAACAGGCACAAGACAGCCCCAGCGGTCGAATGGCTCTTCTTATTCCCTCTTTCCAGGACTTTTTCCAGAGCACTGGGGCAGAGTTAGAAAAGCTCTCTGAGCCTCTAAGGCAGCTTCGAAATCCCTCTGCTGTAGCTGAAGTGGGGAAGTGGGGTGGAGAGGGCTGTGTTCTTGTAAAGTTGCTGGTCTGGTCTGTGAAAAGAGGCTCAGGTCTACTCTAACTCTCAAAGCCTTGATATCAACCCAAGAGGGAGTCACAATCATCCTTTTTGGCGTATGTGGGTGGAGGAGGTGGGGGAAATGAAAACAAAAAGCAATGGCTACTGCCACTTCCTGCCTGAATGTGTTGACCTTTTGCACAAGTGCCCAGAGAGCTTAGGTTGAAGTCAGAAAGCAGGTTGTGAGACTACCCATGGGGGATGGGGGTAGAGATTGTCCCCAAGGCTGTCCATTCAGTCCCACCACGCTTGACCCAAATCAAGGCTCCCCTCCTTAGGGAAAGACAGAGAGCCTCTTGTTGGAACTGTAGAATAGATAAATTGGAGCTGGAACCCAGTTTCCAAGGCACAAGAGGGAGACATTGGCCCTAGGATGGGAGATGCACGAACGCCCCTGGCAAATTCCCACTTGCTGCTATCTCTCCATTCCCTCCCTCTTTGTCTGTACTTCCTCCCATTCCCTCAACTTCATCTTAGCTGCCACCCTCTTCATGATTCTGTTTGAGAACCATTTATTTAGTGCCTACTCTCTACCAGGCACTGTGCTAAGTGCTGAGATAACAGGATGAACAAGACAGTCCCTTTCCTCAAGGAGGGGGAGCTTGGGGAGACAGATAAACAAATGATCACCATATTGTGGTTATGTCCCATGATAAACGTGGCACAGAGTCCTCCGTGCATATATATATGACAGGCACCCACCTAGCCCTGGAGTCAAAAGGTGGGAGTCCAAAGCAGCTTTCTCGATGCAGTTATGAACAGAATCTTTAAAAAAAAATGATTGAGTTAATACAGCAAACAAGAGGGGAAGGACACTCCAGCAGATGGAACATCATTAGCGAAATTAGGAAGACATGAAGAAGTGAGGCTGTGTGAGCAGGGGATATAGCAGATTAGCATAAACTCTAAGGGAGTCTTCCAAATAAAGCTGGCAAAAGAGCATTGTATCCCCTGCCAAAGAACTTGAATTTATTCTACAGTTGATGAGAAACTATTATTAATAGTGGGCTTTACTCAAGGGGTAGACACTGTCAGATTTAAATGTTCATTGGATCTCTAAGTCAACTAGAATAAGGAACACTGCATAGAAGAGCAATAGGGAAGCTGCTCTGACAATCCAGGTGAAAGTCAATGTAGGGATGAAGTAGTTTACTGGAGTTAGTCGGTGCCCACAGTGGAGATGATGAGCACAGTCAAAAAAGGAGGCTCAGGAGAGCAGTGGTGATGAATATGTTGAAGTGCCTTTAAGAGCGTTAAGTGAAACACTGGCACCAGGGTTTCAAGCTCAGGAGAGCAGATACAAAAAGCATATGCATTGGGGAATCATAACATAGGCATATACCAGGGGTGCCAAAAAAATGTATACAAGTGGGCACTTTGGTCAACGTTGCTCAAGTACTTTGAGCACCTCTTGTAATTGCAGAAGTCAAATGTGACTTGTATTCATCTTCTGTTATCAGTATACGAGTATATTGAGTATTACAATTTTAATAGTTTTTTCCTTTCTTAAAATGTGTATACATTTTTTGGCACCCTCTGTATATTTGGTAATCATAATATTTTCTTTATCCTCATACTATGTGCAGTTTTTAAGTCAGTCCCTTCCTTTCCTCTACCCAGAGCTTTCACCTCCTCTTCATTACTCCAGAATTACCCATTCTGTATCTGGGAGCTTCCTCACAATGGGTAGAAATGTGTCTTCCTCATGTGGGACTCTATCAAGAGTTGATCAATGGCACTGAGTAAGGGAAATTACTCTGGTTCCTCAGACCATCACCACCCACAATATGTTCTGAACGCCTGTGTTCATAAATGGTAGTCAACAGACTCACAGAAAACAAGAGTATCAGAATTGGACAGGATCGTAGGGATTATTTATTCCAATCCTTACTGTAGTATACTATATTTCTTTTTTTTTCAATTACAGTTGACATTCAATATTAGTTTCAGGTGTACAGCATAGTGGTTAGACATTTATATAACTTATGAGGTGATTCCCCCCATAAGTCTAGTACCCACCTGACACCATACACAGTTATTATATTATTGACTGTATTCCCCATTTGTGCTATACATCCCCATGACTATTTTGTAGCTGTGAATTTGTATTTCTTAATTCCTTTACTGACACTTTCGGCCCTCCTGGTTTGCCCCTTATCATAGTCCAGGTTGGTTACCAACATCCATATCCCTATTTTCTCCTTCTAGTTTTGATACCTGTTGTTGACAGTATGGAAGTGTCCTTCCTGTGTGGAGTTGATTCATTAAAAAGTGCCAGAGAAAAGTCATCTTTTTCAACACTTACACCAACTTCAGACAGCCCTTAGCTCAAGGAAAGTGACCAAATCCCTGGCTCTGGAGGATAAATCCCAGTTGGGCTGGGCCAACCATAATGGTCTCATTCCCCTTGCCAGTGATTTGTTAAGAATGGACATGTGAACCAGTTCTGGCCAATACAAGGTGAGGGAACTACTGAGAGATTCTGGGGAGATTTTCCTTGCTCTTAAAACTCGTGGTGGGGCGGCTCAGTTGGTTAGAGCGCAGTGCTCATAACACCAAGGTTGCTGGTTCAATCCCCACGTGGGCCACTGAGATGCGCCCTCCACAACTAGATTGAAAACAACTACTTGACTTGGAGCTGATGGGTCCTGGAAAAACGCACTCTTCCCCAATTAAAAAACAAAAAACAGCAGCAAAAACAAAAAAAAACTCATGGTAATTCCTCTACTTTTCTGAGTGTTATTTCTCTGGATGTTATGACCTTGAGGTAGGAGATTGGGGGGTGGCCAAAACCAATTATTAGTTGAAGCTGATGTTCAGTTTAATAGTTATTAGTGCTGCTCACTAAATATCTCTGCCTTCCAAACGTATAACAGAATTACAATCCTGGGTCCATTTTTGAGTAGAACTAGAAAGTGACTTACTTAGTACTACTGGTCAACAAGTCATGACCATTATTTCTGAACCAGAGTATCTAATTTCCACTTCAAGAAACTCTGAAGTTTTCATTTTCTGCAGGCATAGTGATCAGCAATGCTCTATGTAGAAGTGGCTTTGTCAGCCTGGAAGTGACTACAGTGAAAAGAGTCCCCAGACAATAAAAATAGTGTCCCATCATGGACATGTAGCATGAGTAAAAATATACTTTTTCTTCTTAAACCCACTGAAATTGGGATCCATTATTGCCACATATCCTACCCCATCCTGACTGAAACACTAAAGATAGCAGATGGAAAGATGAAACAAGCATTACTGA